AACGTGAGATAATTGTTCATATTTTGTTTAAAGAAATTATTTTTAAAATAATTTAAAATATATTTATATTTATTACTTAAATATTTTTTAATTATTTAAATTTAAGATATTTAATTTTAGTTTTTTAAATTTAGAATTGATATTTTTAATTTTCATAATTTCTAAAAAATATATTTTCGTCCTTATATTCTATTTTTTTTATAGAGAATTTATTAAATATTATTACACAAAATTTGTTAATAAAAATATAGCATTAAATTCAAATGATGTTACATAATTATAAAGATTAAAATAAATAATTTTAAATTTGAAAAATAAAATTAAACTTATTCTAATTTTAAAGAAGTAAAAACATATTCAATCTTATATTTATTTAAGTTTGTGCTCTTTGAACCTGATGAACTAAATCGGATCCCTATTCCTTAACGATCCCTCTTGTGATGTGAGATGTGAATAAGGGGTGAAAGCATAGGTGGGAAAATGTCTAGCAAAGTAATTTGCAACTATTAGATATAATGGTTTTTAAATGAACGAGATTTATCTCCCTTTTTATTCATTTTTCTTTATCTTTCTTTTTCGGTTTTGATCCTATATGTGTCTTTTCCCCTAAAAATATGTATTAAAATGTTGAATTTATTATAAGTTAATTATTACATCTAATTAAGATAAGAATGATGTAATAAATAGTTATAATTAAAATAGGTAAAAAACTATAACTTTAAATTTAAAATAAAAGGTATACACGCATGCTATCTATCTTAATTAATAAATAACGGGGGGAAATTACTTTTAATTCTTCTAAAACTTTTCAAATTTTCTTTTGGTTCTTCAATTTTATTTTATTAAATTAGTCCCATTAAAATATGTTGAGGTTGATATTTTTTCTATGTCCAATGACAATGTCCTACATAACAAATAAAAATACATTATTTTCATATAAAAAAATAGAACAAGTTGAATTTAGTTAAAAGATGTTAATTCTATTTTGTTTTAATTAGACAATTGATATAATTATATCTTTTTTATTCTACTCTCTATTACAAAATTTATATATTTGGTAGTGATTATCATGGTAGAAAATATAAATTTATTTTTTTGCCATTTTACCAGCCAAACATTTTTATTGTACGAATAATTTTGCAATAAAAAAATGGAAAATCCATTATTCTACTTTATTATTGAATAAAAACCTTTATGATAATAATAATAATAAACTAAAATAAAAAATTTCTCATTTTATTATTTCCATAAAAATACCTCATCTGCTTTCTCATATTGCACTACCTCATCTGCTTTACTATTTTCATGTATATATACCTCAAGCGATCTTAGGGACCAACACATCTGCTTTCTCATATTGCACTAATTTTTCTTTATAGTCACTTTCCATGACTTTCAAAAGTGTTCTCCATTGCCCTCTATTGGTTTTCCTTCTCCTTGTTGGATTTTGGGCATTCAATGGAAGTGCTCGCAATCTCGAATATGCCTCAATGCAAGAGAGGCACGAACAATGGATTGCTCAATATGGAAGAGTCTACAAGAACCATCAGGAGAAAGAGTTGAGATACAAAATATTCGAGCAAAACGTGAAACACATAGAAGCCTTTAACAATGAAGGAAACAAATCTCACAAGCTTGGTATTAACCAATTTGCTGATCTCACGAATGAGGAATTCAAAGCCAGAAATAAACTCAAGGGTCGTGTGTTGTCTAAAAAATTAAGGACATCCACATTCAGGTATGAACAACTGACACAAGTACCGAAAACATTGGATTGGAGACAGAAAGGAGCTGTCACACCCGTCAAGGCTCAAGGCGTTGACTGTGGTATGAACTTCATAATTCCTTCAAATTTCCAAGCACTTATGAAACAATTATTAAATGATATTATATATTACTATCATGCTATCAACACACTTTGGTTTTTCAGGTAAGAAATATTTTTCAACCACGAAAATGAAAAATCTAACTTAAAGGCAGTTGTGCAATAATCTCCACCATTAGATTAATTTCTGAAGTTTATTAAAGATTGGAGTATAAAAAATATTTTTGTATATTTTTATAGAGGTTCAAGGAGTAGTATAGAATCTAAAACTCAAACTCAAATATTTATATATTTATTTTAATCTCTAATCACTAGGCTCATACGTACTAGTATTTTTCACACCCTGTTTTAAATATATACTCTTCAATTAGTTAAATTTTATTAAAAATATAAATTTATGCAGGTCTTGCATATTCTTTATTAATTCTCTCATCTAATCTTATAATTTTTTAATAAATTTTCATAAATGAATTTTTTTTAAAAGAGTGTGTTCTCAGCACTCTTTAGAATATCTCCAATAATAAAACTCTTTTTGAATTCTTTTCTTTAAGATAATTTTTTTTTGGATTCTTAATCCACTTTTTGTTGGTTTTTCTATGTTAAATTTTCTCTAATTTTTGTTTCAATAGAAAAACCTTAAGTTTTTAATACACCTTTTGTAGACCTCATATTTTGTTTTTTCTTTAAATTTATTTTGTTAAAAATTAAAAGAAAATCTCTAATTAACATGTTTTTCATATAATAACAATTATTACACTGTATCATTCATGTAAAAATATTCTAATATTAAAATTTGTTATAAACTATTATTATATATACTCTAATCTTAAAATACTCTAATTAATAATTTCTTTCGGAGATGACCTCATATACTATTCTAGTAGTGTAAAAACTTTCAACACTTCACCATTCAATCATAAGTTGACATATATAATCCAAATGTTGACCTTCAATTATAATATTTACCTTAAATGTAAACTATGAATTCTGATTAGTTAGTGTATAATCTAATGAATTTTGCTTGGTATTTTTGATCTTTCAGGAGATTGTTGGGCATTTACTGTTGTGGCAGCCGTAGAAGGAATTATCAAGTTAACCACAGGCAAATTAATCGATTTATCAGAACAAGAGCTTGTTGATTGTGACACAAAGGGTTTAGACCATGGTTGCGAAGGGGGTGTAATCGAAGAAGGCTTCAGATTCATCGTGGCAAATAAAGGAATTGCCTCAGAAGCCTCTTACCCTTATCGTGCTGTTGATGGACACTGCAATGCAAAAGCAGCATCGCAACATGTAGCTACCATTAGGGATTACGAGTTGGTCCCTGTCAACAATGAGACTGCATTACTTCTCGCTGTTGCTAATCAACCAGTTGGTGTAAGTATTGATTCTAGCACTTTTCAATTTTATTCAAGTGGGGTCCTCAGAGGATCATGTGGCACTAACCTTGATCATGGTGTCACTATTGTGGGTTATGGAGTAAGTGATGATGGAACTAAGTATTGGTTGGCCAAGAATTCATGGGGCCCAACGTGGGGTGAACAAGGATACCTTAGGATACAAAGAGATGTTGCTGCTAAAGAAGGCATGTGTGGATTAGCAACAGTACCTTTTTTCCCCGTTGCATAAATTTTAAACTTTTAGTTTTAGTTTCTATTGTGGATCAAAACTTCAATTTATTTTTCTTTGAATTGCATGTAATATTACAAGTCACCAGAAGTTAGGGAAGTATACAAATTCTAAGTTTGAATCTTACTTCTGTTATTGTAATTTTTATAAATAAAAAAAATATGATAATATTTTATTATTTAAAATCTTGAATAATTATCCTAGTCTTTTTTTTTTCTTAAATGCGTCATTAAAATATTTCCTTAAACTGGAAAGGGATAACAAAAATATGTTCCACTTTAATTGTACAATTTTTTTTCAAGGTGTCACAATATTAATAGGTTTGAGGAACTTAAAACGAATAAATTCAAACTTATGATTCTTTGTTATTACAATGTATTAAAATTATTGTACATTTATGATAATTATTAATAAAGATAATATCTCTTTTTATTGTATATATTTTTTTTATTTTGTTCTTTGACTTTCAAAAATTATCTTCTACATTTTTTTATTATATATTTTCTACACTCTTTTTTTTATATAGCTACATTTTTGTTCTTCAAATTTCTCACACTTTTTTAAATAGCTACTCAAAAGTGCTCAATACTCATATCCTCTAATTATTAATAATTTACACATTTAATTTTAATTTTTTTTATAATTTATTTAATTTTATTTTTATTTAAAAATATCTAAAGACACAAAATGCTTTTCTTTACGCTAGTCATACATAGGAATGACAATAAATCAAACTTTAAACAAAAATTTATAATTTGATCTGAACTATTTAATAAAATTGTCTAGTTTAAGTTTTTAAAAAAATCTATTTATTTAAAAAAAATTGTTAGATTTAATAAGTCAATTTATTTATCTATAAAATATAATTTATATATATATATATTACATTATTAATAATATAAATAAATAATTTTATAATACAAAATATCAAATTATTAATATTTTTGATATGTTCACTTACTTAATTAGACGTTTTACATTTCTATTCATACAAAATCAAGAAATAAAAAATAGAAATTTAACCATCACGTTTCAACTGCTTTTTTCCTTCATTTTCATGATTATATTTATTTAAAATATTTTAAATAGGATATAGAAAATATTTAGAAAGTTTCTTTTTTTTTTTTCCTATACGATTATCTTCTTTCATTATATTTATTTGTGAGTGTAGATGGATATATGCATAAATTATTCTTCTTATATTTGTAGACAAAAAATTGTGTTGAATATAAATATACTAAAATATGCAAAAGGAAGCCTAAGTTGATTTTTTATTTTCATCTATCTTGCTGTCATTTAATGATTGCTTTGCTTCAAACTATGCTTGTTCTCTTTGTGTAAAAGTGAAGAGGTATTTTGCTTTAACATAATTTTTGTGTAGTTGGTGTATGTGGTTCAATTGTCAATGTATATGAATAAACTTCACCTACCTGGGATTGAATCTCATGGGCAAACTTTGTTGTCAAGGTGGCACCACCAGGTACCTGGGTGAATTATTCTCATTTCCCACACTTTTTGGGTGGCAGCAGCTTGTTTGTCTGAGACTAAATGAAAAGCATTTTCTTTATTAAGTTACTTTTATAGGTTTTTGGTAAGAAAAGTCAGTTGGAGCTTCTGTTGTGTCAGGCCTAGTTGCTTATGATGAGAATTGGTTCCATGTTATTATGGTCGATTACCATGCAATCAGTATAATTCATGTATTCTTTGATAGGCTTTCAAGTACACACAAACACAAAGGATATATGGTTTATATTAATCGAGGCCATGTACATGTGGTGTGTGTCTCATTTTCTTTTAATGTAATTTAACAGTTTTTTATGGACACCTTAAACATTTCTATTAAGAGGTAGTCATTTATGGTAGTCTAGCTAGTTCTTAGTGAACTTGTTTGAGATGCAATAATTAATATTCTTTTGGATTTTATAATTATAAGAACTAAGAACTAAGAACTAGTGATGAATGATCCAATTTAAAGTTTGAAGCAGTCAGAGGCGCAATTTAATTGAAATCTTTTGGCAAAATCTTCAAGTTTCTGGCAGATGATAATATTCGTGTGTTTCAGGTGATCTCCCGGTTGTTATATCATGTGTTAGCCTTGCCCTGGCAGATGCTGGAATAATAATGTATGATCTTGTTGCCTCAATTTCTGTGGTATGAATCTTGCTCACTTTTGCACTTTGTTATGATGTAACTAATTTGTACTCACTTTTGTAGGTTGCATAATCTGTTTCTCCCATTTTAAACTTGTCTTGAAATTTTGATTTACTATAATGTCATCTTTTGATTTCCCTTTTTCAATATGATTTTTGACTTAATACATGCATCACACATTTCATGCATTATAAAATTTCATGCATAATCATCATCATTGATGTTTCTACTACAACTAATTATCATGGCCAAATATATTAATATTTTTTTAATCTAATTTAAACAATTATTTGAACATATCTTATGCTGTAGAGTTTTATTTTTGCAAAAAAAAAGTATTTTTAATTAATTTGTTCTCATTAATTTATAGAATTCTTTTAGTTTTTTTTTATTTATAATTTTTGTTAGTTTTGAGATATAGGGAGAGGAAGGAGCTAGTAGCAAAGGAGTAGAACATTGGGAGCTTTCACTCAAAGCAAGAGGAAAGAACACTCGGAGTGATTTCATACTTGTTCAAAGTGAGCACCCTTAATGCTCTAAGCGAGAAAACTCAAAAAGATATCACTAGAATACCATAAAGAGCTTACTTAAGGGAGTCATTTTAGCACTCTGAGTAAGTTGACAAAGCAACGTCAACAAGGACATGTCATTACAATTACTTAAGCAAGCCAACATGGTTGCTTAAACGAGCAAGCACAAAAACATTTTCAAGAGCATCACGAAGTACTCGCTTAAGCAAGCCAACTGATTGTTCTAAGCAAGTGGACATTACAAACCCAATTAGAGAAAACACACTTGAAATCTTATAAAATAGGGTTTGGAAAGAATAAAAAACACTTCACCATATTATATATTTTAGAGAGATTTGAGAGGATAAAAGGAGTTGTTGTTGAGGATAGATTGATATAGTTGACTCTTTTCCATATAATTTTTCATGTTCTTATTCAATTAATGTTTTTATTTGATTAATTATTTTTCTTCTATTCTTAAGGTTTGTTTTAACTTGATCACCAATTGCACGATCTCATAGATTTAATTGAAGTTGAAAAACTCTTTTGAAATTATGATTTCAAGAATAATACTATTAATGCTTATTACTAGGAATATGATAAGTCTTATTGGTAAACGTTTTAGACATTTGATCTTAATGCGAGTTGCTTAACAAACTTCACTAAAGAATTTAAATTTTTCTTAAAGAACATAGAATTCTCTACCTAACAAATTAGGGTTAAAATATTTTCTTTAGCTAATGAATTAACTTGATAAATACCAAAAATGAATAGTATTTGGGAAAGATACACGAGGAAGGATGATGAAATCAATTTCTAACATCTTTTATTTTAGATTATCAATTATCTTTTCTATCTTTTTATTATTCTAGATCTTTAAAAATATATTATTGATGTTTATTGTATTTTTCAAATAATTCTATCTTTTTCTTTTTTCTAATTAATATTAAATTAGATTAATTAGTTGAGACAAGTGCCGGAAACATTGGATTGGAGACAGAAAGGAGCTGTCACATCCGTCAAGGCTCAAGGCTTTGACTGTGGTATGAACTTTGTAATTCCTTCAAATTTCCAAGCACTTATAAAACAATTATTAAATGATATTACATATTACTACTATATCATGCTATCAACACACTTTTTTTTATGGGTAAGAAATATTTTCCAACCACGAAAATGAAGATCGAACTTGAGGTTGTTGTGTTGCCCTAGAAACAATGATCTCGACCTTTAGATTAACTTCTGATGTTAATAAACATTTGAGTATAAAAAATATTTTTATATAGCTCTTCAGGGTTCAAGTGATAGTAGAGAATCTAAACTCAAACTTAAGTTTTTATATATTTATTTTAATCTCAGATCACTAAGTAGATTCTAATGATTTTTTTATACACCATTTTAAAAATATACTATTTTATTAGTTAAATTTTATTAATTGTTGCATTTTATTTATTAATTCTCCTAATTTTTCAATAAATCTTAATAGATGAAAAAGTATTTTTGAAAGGGTGTGTTCATAGCTCTTCTCAAAGTATCTATAATAGTATAACTCTTTTTGGATTTTTAGTCCACTTTTTCTTAATTCTTCAATGTCATGTAGACTTTAATAATTTTCTCTAATTTTTGCTTCAATAAAAAACCTAATTTGGATTTTTAATACACTTTTTGTGGTTCTCATATTTTATTTTTTATTTAAATTTATTTTGTTAAAAAAAACTCTAATTAAGAACTTATTCATGATGATTCTTTTACCGTATTATTCATATCAAAATACTCTAAAATTATCTTTAAAATCTCAATTCAATAAACTACCTAATATTAAAATTTGTAATAAATTATTCTTATATATATATAAAAACTTGATTAAGAATTTTTATTAGATACGACCTCATATATATACACTATTACGATATGGCCTCATATACACTAATACACACAAATATTGTAGTAGCGTAAAGACTTTCAACACTTCACTATTCAATCATAAGTTGGCATATATAATCCAATTGTTAACCTTCAATTATAATATATTTATATCTTAAATGTAAACTATGATTTCTGATTAGTAAGTGTATAATCCTAATGAATTTTGCTTGGTATTTTGATCTTTCAGGAGATTGTTGGGCATTTACTGTTGTGGCGGCCGTAGAAGGAATTATCACATTAACCACAGGCAAATTAATCGATTTATCAGAACAAGAGCTTGTTGATTGTGACACAAAGGGTTCAGACCATGGTTGCGAAGGGGGTGTAATCGAAGAAGGCTTCAGATTCATCGTGACAAATAAAGGAATTGCCTCAGAAGCCTCTTACCCTTATCGTGATGTTGATGGACACTGCAATGCAAAAGAAGCATCGCAACATGTAGCTACCATTAGGGATTACGAGTCAGTCCCTGTCAACAATGAGACTGCATTACTCCTCGCTGTTGCTAATCAACCAGTTTGCTGTATCTATTGATTCTAACACTTTTCAATTTTATTCAAGTGGGGTCCTCAGAGGATCATGTGGCACTAACCTTGATCATGGTGTCACTATTGTGGGTTATGGAGTAAGTGATGATGGAACTAAGTATTGGTTGGCCAAGAATTCATGGGGCCCAACGTGGGGTGAACAAGGATACCTTAGGATACAAAGAGATGTTGCTGCTAAAGAAGGCATGTGTGGATTAGCAATACAACCTTTTTTCCCCGTTGCATAAATTTTAAACTTCTAGTTTTGGTTTCTATTGGGGATCAAAACTTCGATTGATTTTTCTTTGAATTGCATTAATAATACAAGTCACCAAAAGAAGTACGATAGTATATATGATGATATCCTATTAGGGTGAATCTCGTGGGGGGAGAAATTAGGGTAACATTTGAATCTTGTTATTATTATTATAATTTTTATAAATAAAAAATATAATAACATTTTATTATTTAAAATTTTGGATTAGAAGTGTCAAAATAAGTTAAATATGAAGGATTAATTTGATTTATCATAAGTCTAGGTTCAGTCAGATTAGAAAAAAAAAATATTAATTTTGATTAAATTTCGACTTGACTTATTTAATAAGTAAATCAAATGGGTTTGAGATTAAATAAGTCAAATTAATCCTTTTAAATCTCTATAATTAAAAGAAATTATATATATATATATATATATATATATAGCAAG